TATTTTTCACTGAAAAATAGTTAAAAACAACCTTTATGCTGTGTATAAATTAAATTTTTCAGTGCTAAATGACATCTTTTAGAAGAACTGGTGGCAGAATACAAACACATCTAAAGGTAAGGATAATGGAAAAGTAAGAACCTATAACTTTGTCCGAACAAAATATATTTTATGGTACTGATATTATACTAGGGTTTTTGTGTAGGAGCATTGTATGTGAAGCAATGTTGTCTTACAACACAATACGGTACAGTGTATACTACAGTGCTGTCACACTCTCTGATATGTGAGCACACACTTGGATTATGTGGTTTAGTTTTGGTCACCAGACTATAGAATGGTTATTGATTTTCTAGAAAGCACTCAGGAAAGGATGACAAAGTTAATCTTGGGCATTAATAACCTTGAGTATACTGACGGATTAAAAAAAATGCAATTTGCATTCCACTGAAAGACAGTGAGTGAGAGCCAATACGGTCCAAGTGTATAAGTGGAAGATGAGGTGAAATAAAAGTCATATAACTAAGGTACAGTACTTCTAATAAAACACTGTCAAATGAGGAGCAAACACTTACCAATGGTTTTAAATTAAGACAAATTTAGTAACTGAGTTGTGAATGAATGGAAAAAGTTACTATACAATAATGATGGTCATTAACTCTTAACTCGCTGGTAAATTTCCAATACAGGTTGGAGAGTGTAGGGACAAAACCCCCTCATTAAAGTGCAAAGTAGGACATAAGTTTCCAATTTTTATACAGTATTATTGTTTCTCTGAAACCCTATCTAGGTACACATAATAGTGATGACAAATAAATATATACAGCATATACAGTATATATACCTGTAAAGTCATGTATATCTGATGTAATCATTATTAAGTGTCACTAAAAGGGACATATACAGCAAATCTATTTCCCCTCTTTATCCATATGTATGTGCATTTCTTTACAGGGAAGGCCTAGTGGATTACTCCAGTAACAGCTGTGTGTTCGGCACTCATCGTCGCATCCAGCCACCAGCTCTTCCAGATGGAGTACTTCCCCCAGTACCGGTATACATGAGGATTCCTCCCCTCTTTCCACCACAGTTATGGAATGTTCATCAGGCAACCATTGATGGGGAGGATCGCACCAACAACTTAAGCGAGAGTTGGACTTTTGCTTTCCATGAACTTGTGGGACATGACCACCCAACCAACTGGTTCTTGTACTAACAATCCTAATTAAGGATTCTCTTGGTGAGGCCGAGAAAACAAGTCATATGTGCCACAAAGGAGCATCACCAGTGTTTGAAGAGTCAACGTCTGGATTATGTGAACAAGAGGAAGACCTTGGAGGAGTTTCTGAAGGGCGTAGGTCACAACATATACCATAGCATGTGGTAAAGTATATCTTGACTTTAGCAAAGCCTTCGACAGAGTCCCCCACAAAGGACTTATAAGAAAAGTGGAGGCTCGCGGCATTGGAGGAGATATTCTAAAATGGATTAGTGCGTGGTTACAGGGCAGGAAACAGCGAGTGAGCATTAACGACACTAAATCCGATTGGAGTAACGTCATTAGTGGAGTACCCCAGGGCTCAGTCTTGGACCATTATTATTTATCATACAGTGATCCCTTGGTTAATGAACGCCTCGGTTAGCAAAATTTCGGTTAACGAATTACCTTCCACAAGAATCTTCAGTTCAGTTAACGAAAAAAATTCGGTTAACAAAATTTTTACGAAATCATGTCAACATATTTTCGCTTGCTCACCAGCTGTAGTATTAGTCCGCCAATACAGTAATCGGTTCTAGGGCTTAAATTCGTTCCCATTTGAGTAAATATCAAGAAGGTTGGACTGTTCAATAATATTCCAAGTTTTATATTAAAATTTTTTAGCAATTTTGCTGTGCTTATAGTGGAAGTACAAGCTTCTAATTTTTGATGCTTAACAACCCACCAACTCACCCACAAAAGCGTCGGGTTGTCTCTGGTCAGTAGGTAACATCTTGCCCTTAGCTCTCTTGAACATAAATCATTTTTACATTTTTGCAGGCTGGTATTGAGATACCATTCTGAAATTTATTTTACATATTGACAATATATAGTGCAGTGCAGTGTTGATTTAAAAAATAATCTTGGAGTACACCTAAATGAACTTAACATTTTGTAGTGCAAATAATGGCATAAACGTAGGGTGATTTTCTTCCACCCCACATCCTTCTCTTCTCCCTTCTCCTCCACCCCCACTTCTAATTCATCCATCATCATCTGTCATCAGCCAGGGCCTTCATGCACCTCAAAGTGTGCTTTACTGCATTTATTTTTTACTTTGTGTAATTTTTGGTGACTGGAACCAGTACCAAAATCCCCATTGAAACAATTGTTTAGGTTTAACGAAATTTTGATTTAACAAACGACCTTCTGGAACAGTGCGTTACGTTAACCGAAACCGCAACATACATAGCGACATGAATATCCAGCATGGCTAACATAAAGTATTAAATTTGCTGATGACACTAAAATAAGGCGTGTAATTAAATCTGTGAGACTCCAAAAACTACAGGAAGATCTAAAAAAAATTTTGAATGGTCTGAAAAATAGCAGATGAAATTCAAAGTGGACAAATGTAAAAGTACTTAGTCTAGAAGTGTAAACCAAGAAACCAGATATCAGATGAACAACGATGTTATAGAAAATCGAATGTGAAAGGTCTAGGAATAATGATAAGTAAATCTTAAGCCAAGTAAACAATGTGTGTTTGCTCAAAACAAGGCTAACAAAGGAGTGTTAGTTACAAGACTAGAGGTCACCCTAAACTTATATCTTGCTCTTGTGGCTTACTCACTTGAATTGCGCCAGTTCAATTCTGGTCACAGTATTACAAGAATGAATAATGAATCCCAAGAAAAATTCGAGGAGAAATGACAAAGACTTTTACAGGGCATTAGGAGCCTTGAGTGCTGAAGTCAGGTTAAAAGCATCTTAATTTGCACTCCCTCGAAAGGCGCATTAGAGTGGCTGACTCCTTGATAGAAGGTGTATAAATGATTAGGGCTAGCAAATGGGACATTACAGTTCATGTGCTCAAACTATCCCAACCAGGAGGCGAACTGGCTGTGGTTTTAGGTAGACAAATTTAGAATTTTTGCAGTAAATAGGTGAATTGGTTTTGGAAATAGGTAGTGGATGAATAGATAAGTTACCAAACATTGGTTTGGAAATAGGTTGGATGACTGGGCTGTCGAACAAATTTACCAAATATCATTAACTGAACTCGCTGAATAACTTCAAGCTTATAGGTTGAATAGATATATAAGCGATAGGGTGAGTATAAACATTTACCCAATATAGTATATAAATCGCTACAATTTCCTCCCATTAACATATTTCTTAAGTAAAATAAAACTTTTTATGTACAATTGTGCTTTGTTTGAGAATTTCCATAGATACAGTATGTTATTCTGCATTATATAATGAAACATAAGAATAAGAGAAAACACATGACCTATTATTTACATACCAAACAGTCACGTTTTTAACCCCTGGCCCATCATATAACATCAGCTTTTATGTTTGAAGCTTTTATTCCTTTCAATCAGATGTAATATTTATTAACTTGTTCCCGTCATCCACTACTCTGTTTCCCAAGCTCCAGTATTCTGACTGCGCCGTCTAGAATTTGTCTAATTTAAAACCATTATTCTGATTCGCTCTGGTTTGAACAGTTTAGTACCCCTTTGTAATGTCGCTTTGTTTTTAGCCTGCCTTCCCTTACACCTCTATCAGTCGCCCTACTCTCGTCTCGAGGAGTGCAAATTAAGATGCTTTAACCTGTCTCTATACTCAAGGTTCCTAATGTTCATCTTTATGGTTGTGTAAATAATTTTGTGTTCCTGTAAAACAGTGAGTTACTGTATATATAATACTTATAAAGCTGACTTTGCCTAGATAATGGTTGTGTAAATATTTACTCTTGTATAATAATTAGGAATTGATAATGCCATTGTATAATACTTATAATGCCTTTCACGTGTCAGAGAAGGGTCATAAACTGTAATGATGAATAAAATAATGTTAAAAAATCTATTATTTTTTTTGTCTCAGAGGGCTTTTTGCCCTAGGAGTTTTTGTCCTAGGGGCTTTAGTCCTAGGGGGCTTTAGTCCTGGGGCTTTTTAGTCTAGGGGCTTTTTGTCCTTGGGGGTTTTGTCTTAGGAGGCTTTTTTGTTCTGTGGGGCTTTGTCCATGGGCTTTAGTCCTAGGAGGCTTTTATCCTAGGAGAATTTTGACTCAAGGGGATTTTGTCCTACACTCAGGTTGGACAGAAAAAAAGACCAGGTGTTAACAAGGCCGTCTAGTGTGGGTCCAACAGCCCTATGGTAGTTTACCTTCAATGATTATTTTGCATCTATGGTAAAAATAACCCCAAATGGAAATTTTTAAGTTAAGGAATATTTTTTGTCTCACCGGCATGGTAAAAGTTAGGATGTTAAGGATTTTAACAAGACAATTACAACTTGGGAAGAAGTAACAATATTAAGCATTACTCACAGAGTCAATGTCTGAGCCGCTACCTCCCTCATCATCGCTATCAGAGTCAATAAGGGCTTTAACTTTTCTTTTATTCATGGTAGCTAATATAAAAGAGTAAGAAACACCTTGAGACAAGATATACAGCCAGCCCAGCCCGACACACTCACTGTAGAGGACAACAACAAACATCAACACGGGAGAGACTTGACTTGTGGTTCTTTTTCACTTTTTATTTAAATAAACCGATATTATATAAACTATTCTGATAAATTTATGTATAATATTTTATTTATAGACCATTTTTATTAGCAAATATCTATTAAATAACAAAAAATGAGATCCTATAGTTTCCTGAATGAATAAACAATGTTTATTAGAAACAATATATTTGAAAGACATTAATGGAGAATGATCATATTTCTTATTGAGGCATAATTTCCTTTCTTAAATAGGACTGTAAATAATAAATTACATCACAGTAGAGCTGTAGTGAGGGCCAGTGAGTGATGGCAGCTTCCATAGTACGGTCCTGTAGACACGTACCCACGGCAGTAAGTACTCTTCACTCTCGACTTAGTACATATATTTAAATCAAGAATATATTTAACAAACATATATTGTAGTATGAATGGCGCCAAGTATATAAAGGCAGTTGTTAAATGATAATGAAGGAGAGAGCATCGTCTGCTACCCGGCGTCGCCTCCACTGTAGTTACTGAAGGGAATTATTACTCCAGTGATTACATTGTGGAGGCTGCTCATATATCTTGGTGGTTTTGTATTTTTTATGGAGTTTCGTCTGGTACCAAGAGATTGTGTGGTGGGCATTAAGTAGATTCACCTTAGGTAATGTTACGTCAGCTCACCTTACATCATTCCCCAGTAACATGTTAATGACACTTGTTAAACTGTATTTATCACTATGTTAAGACGGACTCCTCACACTTATTAATGATTTGTTTTCTGTAGATTTGTTTTGTTTAAACCTTTGTGTTAATGTGTACAATTCAAACCTAGTGAGGCAGGAAGAGAAGAACTTTGAATTCACCTTTGGGGGGGAGAACCAATAGGCTACAGTCTCCATTGAAAAACCCAAACTATCTCACAACTACTTCATGTATTAGCAGGAACTAAATGCGGTTATTTTTCGTTGTCTACCTATCACATTTTTTCACATGAAAGATATATTTTTTTTGCTAGTTTTCTTATTGTTTTAGATGATTCTGGTTGGTTGGTTGGTTCCTTTGGTATTAGAATAGGTTAGGTTGGTTGGTTCCTTTGGTATGAGAATTGGTTAGGTTGGTTGGTTCCTTTGGTATGAGAATATGTTAGGTTGGTTGGTTCCTTTGGTATTAGAATAGGTTAGGTTGGTTGGTTCCTTTGGTATTAGAATAGGTTAGGTTGGTTGGTTCCTTTGGTATGAGAATATAATAATAATAATAATAAACGGTTTATTAATAGAGTTGCAGCCGGTGGCTGAAAATATACAGACTTACATTTGATTTAGACATAATGATATAATATGCATTGAATACATTTACAGGGCTGTACAGTACATAAATCAGGAGTTGTTTATTATTTTAACAATAGATGGGATGGTGCTGTTCTTATATCTATCGGTGCGGGCTCTTATGGGCTGTATTTTGTTGTAGTGGCGGACTGCGCGAGTTGGGTGGGGGGCTGCAGGTGGCAGGAGGTGGCGATGGCGAGGGTGGTGCAGTAGTCCACTGCCAAACCTTTCCAGTGCTTGGTGGTGGAGGTCACTGAGGGATGGCATTTCCAGGGTGGAGAGAGCGTTGGTGTAGCCGGAGTATTCTGCGCCGAGCATGATTCTGCAGGCCCTTTTCTGTACCTTCTCTAGCTGACGTTGTTGGGTGGAGTTGAGAGAAGACGACCAGGCTGGTGACGCATACGTTAGTTTGGGGAGAATAAAGGCGTTGTAGATGGTCCTCAGCTCTGGCGTGGGTGTCCCAAGTGACCTAAGTCTTCGTAGCATGTAGAGACGGTACGAGGCTGCCTTGACTGTGTTATTTACATGGGCCTTCCAGTCAAGTTTGTTGTCTATAGTTACACCCAGGAGTTTGGCAGACTGCACCAGCTGGAGAGGATGGGCACCCACTGTGACTGCTGGGGCTTGCACTGGAGTGGTGGCGGTATTGATGTGCATGACTACGGTTTTGGTGTGGTTGATGGTGACCTTGTTCTCCGTAGTCCATGCCTGTAGCCTGTCCAGGGCACCTTGTAGCGATGAGTAGTCTGGTGCGGTGTTGTCCACTGAAACCCCCACAGTGCAGTCATCCACGTACTTCCACCTGTGAGGAGTGTCCGATAGAGCGTCGTTGATCAGGATGAGGAAGCACAGTGGTCCCATCTTGGTCCCCTGGGGAACACCGCAGGTGAGGTGTTGGAATGTGGAGACCAAGCCCTGATACCTCACTGCTTGGCGACGTCCACTCAAGAAATCAGTGAGCTATGAGACCAGGTTGGTGGGCAGCCCTAGTGCAATAGCCTTGTTGTATGTTAAGTTGGTTGGTTCCTTTGGTATTATAATAGGTTAGGTTGGTTGGTTCCTTTGGTATTAGAATATGTTAGGTTGGTTGGTTCCTTTGGTATGAGAATGTTAGGTTGGTTGGTTCCTTTGGTATTAGATTAGGTTAGGTTGGTTGGTTCCTTTGGTATTAGATTAGGTTAGGTTGGTTGGTTGGTTCCTATGGAATATGTTATCTTTGGTGTATTACTCAAGTCTGACCTTCATTTCTTGTGCAAATTAAAAAAATTGCCAAAAATTAACATGTTCATTTTAGCAGAAACCTCTAATTTGCTAAAAAATGGAGGTCAGATTTGAGTAATAAACCAAAAATTACCTATATTTTGCCATGACCGGCTAAGTTCCTGCTAATGCTATGTTACTGTGAGTGCACTCCGATTGGCTAATCTGCCATTACCGGTAAACAATGCAAGAACTTTATATGACCATGACTGGCGGCATTTGGCATTTATTTTGCCATGAGTCGATCATTGTGCAGGTATAAACATGCCTTACCATAGTTTTGTTGTGCATGGAAACTACTAACAAAAATAGAGGTTTTAGGTCGAACATGGAATTTCACCTTTCTATTTATATAGGGAGAAAGCAATAAAAAAACTATATTCTGTTACATTTCCGGTATTTTAACCGATAAGACCTCCCCAATTACCAACAATATTGGTTATTTGAAGTAGGCAGTAAAGGGGATATGTGGAGTAAAATTCTACAAAACACCAACCAATCCTTTGAAAACCACACCTAACCTTATCTAACTTGTAAAAAGGTTAAAAGTACAGTAATGTCTGAGAACACCACTACCACCAGAGGAGTAGTTCGATTTTGTTAAATTTTTCCACATGTTATCATTATAAGAGGTGACATTTTCTAGAAGCTAATAGAGCCTGACTTAACCAACCAAAGAAACCTACCTAATCTTACTTAATTTCCTAACATTAGTACTGTAGGAATTTAGCTGGTCACGGTAATTTAAAATTTCTTCATCTTTGATCATAAATCACCTGTAGTGGGCAAAGCATGAAAGAAGAATAAAACTATGAAGTAAAACAGAAGAAAATGATCATATGGCTGTAATTCCATGTCTATGTGCTTTGTACACGGAGAAATAAATTTTTTACCTGAATTATTCCACCGCCAAATCTCCTGTGGTGCTGGTTGTTCTAGTCCACTCTTAAACTACTATAAACTTGTGACTCCGGTCTTTGTTACCCTATTACTTTAATTAATATTGGCTTTGTTGTCTTTTGTTTTAATTTTTATAGTCTTCACTGCCATGTTTGTTTTTACACACATAGTTTTTGATCCTCTTCTGTGTATAAAGGATTTATGATACAGTGTTATTTTGGTTTTGGTCATCTGGGGAACTGGTTAGGTTAGGTTTCTTTGGATATCTAAATACAGGGACGACCAACACTAAAATTTTACCGGATTTGGAGCCCATAATACAGGTATAAGCAAAACGTTTTTTGTAAGATGATTGAAAAAAAAAATCTGATCTGATCACAAGTCTTCGGGTAGGAGATCCAAGCTCCGACACTATCGCTCCTCGGCTGACATCTGGCACTTATGGGATGTTTCGTTGGTTCCTTTCATACAGGGATTTTATTTATTTATTTTATTTTATTTTTTTGTAGAACATAACTACAGAAGTATAAATTTAGGTTTAGGTATACATTAGGTGTCAATATTTCCATTTTTTTACATTATTGCGGTGGTGGTATAGACAAGCAACTGCCAGGAGTATGGTAACTGTTGGAAGCATTTGCCAGGGGTCCAGGAATCTCTGTTCATAAAGTGAACCAATCTAACCTAAAATAATACAGTTATTGCCTTCAATTATCATCTGTAAAGCAGATTCCAATCTACGAAAGGAACGATTGAAATATTTTGGACATAATTTGAGGAGCGATGGCGTTAGAGCTCGGACCTCCCAGCTGTAGATTAGTGTTCGGGAAATAAAAAATGCAGTAGTAAAAATCATATTAAAAAAATCCTCATCAACTTTTCAGCCTTCTCGTGATAAAAAAGTATTTATCTTCAATAGAGAAGTGTCCTCAAGTTACAGGTTGAGGCTCTCAACCATCCTCCAGTGTTACCGTTGGTCTGTTCTCAGTTATGATCTACAATGTCCAGTGTCAGTACAAGAGGAAACTGGAGAACACCTGCATTGTTAGGCAGGGCCACACTTGAGAGCACCCTTTTCATATCTGAACTGGGAATGGAACCCATAACCACAGTTGTGAGGAACGAGCTTGTAGCCACTGTTCCACTATCACCATCATATCCTTCTTTAATGAACCTGGTACTGTACAGTATACTGTATGTGTAAAAATGTTTCCTGTATAACCAGGCAGTCTGTGGCTTGACTATGGGTAGGACAATTACTTTGTGAAGTTAGAACCAAGACTTTTATTGTTTTTGTGTATATTACTGTTTACAGTATACAGTACAGTACTGTATATTGTGGGAGTGAGGAGAAAATAATTGTAAAATAACATTTTAAATCACCACAAAGAACAACACTTCAAGAGTGGATAGAGGTGAGTGTGTTTGATAATTTCTGAGTGGGAAAGGAACCAACTAAACCCAAACTAATGAAAGGAAATTTTTATTTTATTTTATTATATAAAAAATATTTGTTTTTGCAGGGGTTGCGTGGGTACAGTATGGCAAAAATGTGGGTTCCTGTGTCATGGAGTAGAGGGGAACCGGGTGTTGAAGCACTAGCAGCAACGATCAAATCCCATCATCAAGTCTCTCGCTCTCTACAAGTAAGGTTTTATAAACTGTAATATGATTAAAAGATCTATGTCACAGTTTTGTCTACATGTAGGTAGTTACTGTAAGTCTTAGAGGTTAAATAAAGTTCCATTTCTCCCCCAAATAAACTTTTTTACAAATTATAGTTTAGATTAACCTGTTGCAAATTTAAACATTACTGAATTTTATGGTAATACTGTACGTACTATACTCGTGACTACTGTCTTACCTCAAGAAAATCCCCCCAAATTGTAATTTCTATATTATTTTTTTCCTGAACACTAATATACATCAACCTGTATCGTCATGCCAATGCTATTTTCATTGTTTACTAATGACCATTTCATATTCTTGAATGCTTCCCAAGGAGTGTTCCAAACACAGGAACACTTTCAGAGATAGCTATTTTATCAGAAGTAAGATTAACCAAGCTAACTTACCTTTCCTTGGATAGAAGTACAGTATTGTACAGTACCGTATTTAAGGTTAGCTGATGATTTTATAATTTGATTGGAAGTGTATATGTTAACAGATCAAACATCACAAACAAAGTTGGATGTACTGTATTTGGGAAATTGGTGTCCATTTCAGTATTCAGGGTTTTGGAAACTCACTTGGCGGGCTGCCCTTGGTGATAGAAAATCCTTAGGGTCAGTTAAATTTTATATTTACTAGTTCACTGGGCGCATGGTAATTTTAACACATGCAAAAGTGAAAGTATCTAACATTGTTTAGCTATAAAGAAAAAAAATGGTCTTATGCAAAAAAATAAATAAATATGTTTTTTCAGTTAGAATAATACAAAAATATTATCTCATAAGCAAATGCATTTATAATCACTCTTATTGTTTTTGATAATTCTGAGTGAATGTTCTTTGTAGCTTGTGTATCCATTTTGTGTAACAACTTTCTTCCAGTCACTTCAAATGTTAGCATTAGGTATTCCCATAATTTAGAAAATATTCTGGGCGAGTAAAAATGTGTGTGGGTTAGTGGACTTGAAAATTTTCTAGCCCTGTGGGCTAGTGGAAATTTTATAAATTCTCTAGGCATGGTATTTATGGCAGACTACAGAGAAAAAATACACAAAGAAGTTGTCTTTAAAAGGAAAATATTTCAAGGTTGTTGATTTACCAGTGCAAGCTGTCCATACATAAAACGACTTCAGGCATGATGCCATCTGAGGTCCCTCACTCATGCTCACCAGTCTTTGACTTTGTAGTGTTTCAAGTGCTAGTGAATTCTGTAGAAGAATTGGCGCTTTTGAGAATCAAAAGACCGGTCATTATTGTTGTAGTGAGATCCATATTAAGTAGATAGACTGTTAAAGTTATTTCAATATATTTAAAGATCAGAAGTTCATTTCATACAACTTAAACAACAATACTGTATGTAACAAATTTATTTGGGAGTTAAAGAAAATACATTACTTTAGTATGTTATCTTAGAAGACTAATTACAGTACAAGACTGTATTATACTGTACAGTACAGCACTTCATCGGGTGGTTGTGACCAGCAGAATTTATAGTACAGTATAGATATTTGTGTTTTAATGACAATTTAATTGGTTATCTTCAATTAGCACAGTGACATTGCAACCAAATTTGTATGAATGACCATGCTTGAAAATGCCATTGAATCTATAGTCTGTTCACTCAAAGCTTGCAGCTGAGGCCTAGTGCTTTTTTGTAGCAAAACAGCTGACTGACTGACAGGAAATGTGCAGTCATCCAACCAAACTTTAGTGCAGGTATTTCATTTATCTTACCTATTTTCTGTAATTATGAGGAATAAAAACTCTTCACTGTTGATCTCTGATAATTTTGGTTTTTGAAGAATTAAGAATTAACACATGAAATGTACTGGTAACATAGATATCACAAAGAGAACAAGAAAAAATATAACCCAAATTTCAGCCACATTCCCGGTCATGCTACTTGACGTCACAAGGCATGTGGGAGTTGTCTTTACAGTCCCCAGTCAGTATCCAGGCACTGCCTCGAAGCATAATGCTGTGATGTTAATTCATGAATCCTGCACTGTGACTATTTTATTACTGTATTATTATTATTTATCATTTCACCACTTATGAGCCTACTGACCATTCAGGCGGTTGGTCTGTTCTTTGTATGTCTTTCTTTTCCACTGCCTATCTCTCTTATTTAACCCCAAACTTTTTTTTTTATTGCCATTTCTTTTTACAATATTTCTTTCTTGCTTGTCAATACATTTCTCTCTCTCTCCATCATTATTACAGTATCATTATCACTGATATCTTCAGTAACATATTCTCTGGCAATATCTAATTTTTAAAACATCGACTTTTGTTGTGTTTTCTATGCACTTTTCCAGTCTTCCTTGCTCATATTTTCTATTGCTCTTCTCCTCTCATTATTGTATGGTTTAAATTAGAATTATCTTTTTTTATTTGTTTGACTTCAGCCCAGATTACTTCAATGGGGTGAAATTTTAAATTGGCAATGGTATAGTGGTAACCTAAATATTTCATGGTTGTGTGCATGGGCAGAGTTGTCAGTTTCATGGGTTTCCTTATCTTTGTGACTTTACAAAGGTTAATCAGTTATAGTTTGGTTAGTGAGGGATCATGCGCAATGTTGGTACGGGATAACCAGTCACTCATTTCACTTTTCTTGTTGCTTTATGTTGGTTTCTTATTTAATGATTTTGAGTTATATGGGGCATTATTCATTATTATCAATGACTTCTTTTGAATGTTGGGCAGAAGTTATTCTGTGAACCTTGTTCTAAACCTGTTGTGGTAGTCTCCTTTGCTCCCATTTTTAGATCTGGACATTAGCAAGCACCTTTACCTGACCTTGTTTATGGTCCTGCTGCATGTTCTCCCTCTGTCCAGCACTTTCCAATACAGTAGGTCGGGATATATAAAGATTTTTTTATATCGCGGGCTACCAAAATTATCAAAATTTTCCTATACAGTCAACCCTCACTTTACGCGGTCCCACATTCCGCGTTTCCACGTTTACAGTACCCTGCCAGAACCTGGGATGCTCACATTCCGCGGTGCGTGTACCCCTTTACGCGGGTGAAGTATAATTTTTTTATTTAGCTCATAAAATTCATACAAATTATCCGGCCAGAATATAATTTACATTGCTGGAATTCTTACAATTTGATGATCATTTTGAATATAAGCATCATAGATTTTGTATTAGACATACAAATTTTAGATCTAATGCAAGTATTTTGTTTACTCAGAGCAAATATGTTATCTTTTGTGCAAAATATATGAAGTGTATATTCAAAATATTCCTGGTCTTGCAAGGAATCCAGCAATGTCAATTATATTATCCTAACTTTAGTCTGAGGTATTATTTATTACTAAAGTTAAAATCTAGTTTTTTCACCCAACATTTCTCTGGTAGGGAGGGAAGGTGGGGGGAGGGGGGGAGGGAGGGACCGACCATCTGGCGCGGTTGGAAGAGGGGGGGAGGCAAGTGGGGTACTTTGATTGACAGATAGTGTCGTGAAGATATTTTTTTTTTTATTAACTGAAGATATTTGTTTTAGCTCATAAAATTCATACAAATTACCCGGCCAGAATATAATTTACATTGCTGGAATTCTTACAATTTGATGATCATTTTGAATATAAACATCATAGATTTTGCATTAGACATACAAATTTTAGATCTAATGTAAGTATTTTGTTTACTCTGAGTAAATATGTTATCTTTTGTGCAAAATATATGACATTTATATTCAAAATATTCCTGGTCTTACAAGGAATCCAGCAATGTCAATTATATTATCCTAACTTTAGTTTGAGGTATTATTTATTACTATACCTTAAAATCTAGTGGTTTTCCCCCAAAAATTTCTCAGAGAGGGAAGAGCCAGCGAGTGTAGTGTGAGAAGAGGGGGAGGGAGTTGAGTCCATTATTTGAATGGACATTAACTTGGCGACTGTATTTCTCTATTTCTCTTAAGTATTAATTGTGTGCATGTACCATCATAAAATTAAGATGTTATTTTTTACTAGAACATAGGTATTGTGTCGGAAAAAGTGGAGTTTGGGGGTCAGCCGGTCTCTTCATTTCATTTAATCCCATATGTTATGTTGTTCACTTTACGCGTTGGGCCTCCGTGGGTTCAATTGACCGCGTAAAATGAGGGTTCACTGTATATAGCTTTATTTTATTTATTTTTTCATGAGGGAAATTGGGCAGGAAATATTTCAAATTTATCACTACTACCAAAATTATCTAAACTTTCCAATATATAGTGAAACATTTATTTACAGTCGACTCACAACTTACATGTGGTTATGTTCCTGGGACCTCTCATAAAGCCAAAATCTGTATAAAGTCAGAAACACTCCTAAAAATCCTTTAAATAGCCCCAAAAATATGAGTTGAAAATTTTTTGCCTCTTGTGGAAAATATATGATGTCTATATTCAAATTTTTTGCTGTCTTGCAAGGATTCCAGCAATGTAATTTATATTCTGCTAACTTTAGACTGTGTCATTTTATGTGAAGTTTAGTCACTTTTATTGGCCTCCAGAACCTAACCCTATTTTCCCCATTGATTACATGTAATTATATATCGCGATTTAGTATATAGCGAACATCCTTGGACCCTATCTGGTGATATATCCCGACCCTACTGTACATTGATTTTGATTTATCCACCTCTCATCCAAATACACTTCTGGGCTGGGGTTTGTGTTCTTCATGTTCTTTTATGTCAATTTTAGGTACTTTTTCTTGCACACAATAATGCCCTGCCATTCCATTAGCACTACACTTCTGCTGTTTACCTTTCTGTACCTAAATCCAATCCTTGTTGAATTTATCGGTCTTGCCAATGACGCTGGACGGTGTCTTTCTGGGGGGAAATGTAACTTAATCAGCTCAAGGTGAGATTCAAGTGCTTGTTTTTATGGAGCAAATTGTCTGGACAGAAACTTGAGTGGCCTCGGCGGTGTTCTTATCCACCTCCACCTCTGTCTGGCTTCTCCATTATTGTCATTGGTAGCAATGCATATTAATTATCACACTACTTGCCTGACTTCTTATTCTTGAATGACTACTATGTGCATACCACCACTTCCGTCGATTTGTCACGACATCCTTCAATATTCTGAGGCTCCCAACCAAATTTAAAACAAATGTACATTATAACCAATGTTTCATCAACTGTATCTCTGGTATATTCTACATAAATTTTTTTTTCAGCAGTTAATAATTAAAAAAAAAAATTGGGAAACCAAGTGTAGCTGGCAGACTTATGACAGCTTAAATTTCCTACCAACATTTTGCCAGAGTTTTAAAGCTGTGATTTTCCATAAGATACTCCTTTAAATTAAATATTTAAACACCATTAAATGCTATGTTGGTGGTGGGGAAAAACGTAAATGAGTTGGAGTTATGCTCACCTTCCTCCTCGCTGTTCTGACCACTGACTTACATGTCCCGTTTCTTTGACTATCCTGGTGGTTTTTTTTTTTTTTTTTTTTTTTTTAAGGACAGCGGTCATTTGGCCAACTTGAAAACTTTTTAATTCTCTAAATTCATTTTATAGTTCAATTCATTAAGTTTTATTTATTTTAGTCAGAAGAATTATACAGTACTGTATAAGTTTTATGATTCTGCACAGTATTGTACTCTCGTTCCCGCTAATGCATCTTGCTGCTCATATTACGTTCTTTTTCTTTTACTACACCATCATGACTTATTAATAATTATGATTTAAAATTAATAGTTTTCTCAATAATTACATGTATATTAATAGCAGTATATTTTAATTACAATTTAAAATTATCATCAGATGTTAAAGAAAATTTCTAATAGGAGATTGCAACATATCCATTTACAAGCTTACATTCAGGATAGAATTGCCAAGTCTCAAATATTAATTGTGGACAATGAATTTTTATTTGATGGTCCAGCAATAATAGTTACATTTATATTTTATGTGTTAAGAGGGTGTATGTTGACTTAAATTATGGCAGGGAATTGTAACACGTAATAAACTGTTTAGAAATATCTGGCATCTTTTGCCTTTGCTGGTGATGTCAGAGTTTCTGATGTTACCCAGGCACTGCTTGATAACTGAAAAAGGCACTTACATCACTAAACTTCTACATCGTGTTTGTGTTCCATTTATGTTACTGTATTTTTGTTACAAGTGCATTTCATGTGCTAGAGTTTGCTTCCCCAAGTGTGGAAATTATCAGACAATAGCATAGAATGGTTATTATCCCTTAAAATAACGTGACATAAATAAGATAGATTAAATACTGTACTGTACTGTACTGTACTAAAGAGCTGCTGTGTCCTTTCATGTGTCTGTCTGCCAGCCAATCAGCTGCCTTGCTATAAACTGGCCCTAAGCTTCGGGTGAACAGAATATAGATAGAAAAGTACAGTGGTCCCTGGGTTAACGAGCGCCTCGGGTAACGAAATTTCGGTTAACGAATTACCTTCCATAAGATTCTTCACTTCGGTTAACGAATTCCATTTCGAATTTTTCCCAACATGTTTTCACCTGCATTTGGCTGCCCACCAGCAGTAGTATTAGTCCGCCAATACAGTAATCTGTTCTAGGGCTTAAATTCCTTACCATTTTAGTAAATATCAAGAAGGTTGTACTATTCAATAATTTTAAAAGTTTTATATTAAATTTTTTAGTCATTTTAACAGTTATTGAACATAATTGAAGTATAGGAAGCTAGTTTTATGCGCGCCAAACAGCCACAGTTTTTCGTCAGTTTGTTTACCAGCTCAGAGGGAGGAGCATCTTGTTTGAGACTCTTCAACATAATGCTTTTTTCTGTTTCCAGTCAAATTATTGGTCATTTTGAAATATATTTTACATATTGACAATATATAATGCAGTGCAGTGTTGATTTAAAGAAAATAATCTTGAATTACACCAAGTGAACTAAAATTTTATGGGTGAAATGGCAGCCTGGGGTGACTTCTCTTCCACCCCAATGCCTTCTCTTCTCCCTTCTCTTCCACCCCCATTCTAATTCCCATCATCATCAGCCAGGAGCCTTCTACATGCACACCTCAAAGTAAGTGTACTTTACTGCATTTATTTTTAGTTTGTATGTAATTTTCGGTGAGCTGGAACCAATTACCCAAAAACCCATTGAAACAATGCTTTCGGTTAACGAGCAACCTTCTGGAACGAATTGTGCTCGTTAACCGAGGGACCACTGTACAATACAGTGATCCCTCGATTAACGAACGGTCCAATTAACGGAATTTCGGTTGACGAATTAACTCCCATAAGTATTTTCAATTCCATTAACGAACAAAACTTCGATTAATGAAAGCCTTACGAGAAACACGCTTTGTTGTGCGCGTCAGCTGATTGGCTAGTCCGCCAATACAGTAATTGGTTTTATGTTTACATTCGTTTCCAGTGGAGTAAATATCAAGAAAGTTGTGCTTTTGAATATTTTTACATTTTATATAAAAATTATTGGTCATTCTAATTTAGTTAACATATTGATAATATATAGAGTACAGGGAACAGTTTTTGTGTGCCAATCAGCTGATTGAATCACCCGCCAACGCTTCTCGGTTTAACTTTGTTTACAGTGGAGGGAACATCCAGTTTGTTGGTCTTGAATATTTTTGCATTTTTACATTAAAATTATTGGTCATTCTGAAATTTAGTTCATATATTGATAATATACAGTGCAGAAATTATTATGAAACATTAAGAAGGCATTAGAACCAATGCACTCTGTAAAGAATATGGCATGTCATCATCGACTGCCTCTACAATCAGCTGTTTGATATGTAAACAAAGCTGCCGGTAATACGACATACACACCTCAAAGTAAGTTAAAATAAAGTATTCTATTGTTTTTTATTTATTATTATACAGTATACTGTACAGTACAGTACTGTATTTAGTTTATATTTAATGTTTTGTTAATTCTATTACCGATATACAGTAGTAGTAGGCAGCTACCAAACAGGGAGGCACTACCGCCTGGGAAGATATTGGAAGCATAATGTGTTGTCTAATGGTAGACCCTGCTGCCATATGGCATCACGAAAATTGTGACCGAATCCCAGGTTGCTGATCTGACTTTCTGCCTCATTTACACACAATTGCAGGGTCTCAATTGTTTCTCTTAACATTGACAACACAACACAACATACTGTACATACCCCGTATATCATTTCTCACTACAGTAGTACCCCGATTTACGCGGTCAATTGAACCCATGGGGTACCTCGGAAAGTGAAAACCGCGTAAAGTGAACAACAGAACATATGGGATTAATTCCAAGAGAGACTGGCCCGACCCCCAAATTCCACTTTTTCAGACACAATACCTATGTTGTAGTAAAAATAACTTCTTAATTTTATGATGATATGCACACACAATTAATAATTAAGAGAAATATCAATAATATAAGGTTTTTTAACACTTACATTAGTAGAAAAGATGGCTGGGCACACGGGGATGGGGGGTTGGTTCCGAGGCAGAGGGCAGATTATTGGCCCTCACCTGTATCACTTGTATCAATTGCATCACTATCCACCACATAGGCTTGCAGGGCAAATTTGTCAAACCCCTCAAAGTCCATATAAGTCCATATCTTCACTATCACTGACTTGGGCCGTCTGTGGTGGGTGGCGGGTGAAGAACTCGGTAATGTTTTGATGACTGGGCGACCTTGTGCGCATCCTGCCCGCGCCGCTTCCCGCGTATATGAGTAGATGCACCGCGTAAAGTGAAAGTCTGGTACTGGCAAGGTACAGCGTAAATGTAGAATCGCGTAAAGCGAAACCGCGTAAAGCGAGGTATTACTGTATTGATATGTTTTATAATTTTTTTTATTTATTGCTGGCTCTTTATTATTATTATTATTAACATTACTATTATTATTATTATTATATATTACTTTGTATTATAGTTAATATTGAATGTTATTAATTTTATTATTATTATTATTATTTTATTATATTCCCCCAGGCCTTGATGTGGATCATAAAATGACCTGTGCCCGGGTAGGCACTAATTACCCAATATCCCATTGAAATAATAGATTCTGTTAAAAAAAATTTTGGTTAATGAACGACTCTGTGGAACCAATTGCGTTCGTTAATCGAGGGACCACTGTACTCTCTTGTAGTATAAATGGCTGTATGTTACTTATAAATATATAATGCTGATGAATTCTTTTTAGGTACAAAGGTTCTACAGTGCTACACCCCCACCCCAGAAGCCACCCACTTTCTTTGGGAAGATAATGGAAAACTTACGAGATGAAATGGGCAGAAATCAGAAGATGAAAGAGAGTTTAAAAGAGTTTAGAAAAGACATGCAAAAACTGGAGCAGTCAGAGGCTCTGCAAAAAGTCAGGTTTGTAGTGTAAATTATTATAAAAGAGGTGAAAAGACACTTGAGTGCATATACTGTACTGGGTTACAACTCTCTCTTGAGTTGAAAATGAACTAGGAAACTGAATTAGAGATTGAAGGATAAAATACAGAGAGGCTACAAACTACTGTGAATAGTACATTACAGGGAAACCTTGATAAATGATGGGGTTAAGTTGCTGAAAACCCATCGCGAAGTGAAATATCGTAAATCAGGATCATTTTAACATTAGGTTCAATGGTATACATTCCCAACCAGTCCCCAAGACACATGTATCACTGACAAAAAAATTCCTGCACATAATATCAATAGAAAACAAATAACATTCATCACATCATGAAGAACAAGCCTGGTGGTCATTACATGTTCCCCTTCGAGGCTAAGGGTACTCTTGTAGGTGGGGTAGAGACATCACTCTGACTCCCACACAGGTATTATTAACCTGTGCATCTCACTTTACAGACACAAATACAGAGTGATAGCACTTAACTGCAAGAAAAAATAACAGCAATGATAACGTAAGCACAATGATAGCGGTCGACTTAGATCACATGTTCACTAAAACAGAGGCAAAGCACTTTACAGTTACAAAAAACAAAAAAAATATCACTTCACAGTATCCATAACACATTTCAATCTAAATGTTAGTGCTGTCTGCAAGAAAAAAAGAAAAAACAAAACACCGCTGATACTGAACAATAATCGTGGAGCTACATGATGAGAGACAGATGCATTCAACAAAGAACCTAGCGCAGGACTATAATGGGCGGGTTGGCCAAGTGGCGGCACATGGATAGATATTGACGCAGCTGTCAAGTGCAGCAAGAGATGCATCCCCTATGGTGGTACATAGGGTTAAATATTGATTCCTTATAAAATGTCACTGATTTGATGTAGGAAAATATAATTTACATTGCTGGAATACTTGCAAGACATCGATTAATTTGAGTACAGGGGGCCCCTAAATTCGCGGGGATTGGGTTCTCAAAATGGCCGCAAACCTCCAAATCCGTGAATAACATTTGCCGACGGGGAGGGGGTGGGGTAAATTTTTACTTGTGTACATAGAAATGTATATTCCCTTTGTGTTTGCCCTTAGGATAATTATTTCTTTTACCTGTATATATATATATATATATATATATATATATATATATATATATATATATATATATATATATATATATATATATATATATATATATATATATATATATATATATATGTATATATATATATATATATATATATATATATATATATATATATGTATATATATATATATATATATATATATATTGATAAAATCACACGGAAAATGGAAACAACGGAGTACCTATAAATTGAATAATTATAAACTAGTAAATATTAATTATAGCTTTCTGGCTCTTTATTCAAGACATCTTCAGAGGCAACTGGATTACATGACAGAGAGAGGCTTAAATATACAGGTGACCTAAAACATGAGGTCAGGTCATAATGATGACATCCACTAATCCCCACACCAACACAACCGTGAGAGGAGCTTAAGAGAAGGTGGTGGCGTGGACTAGACAGGTCAGGTCAGAAAAAGGGACCCACAAAATAACTGTCATACATCAAGATCAAAGGTTTTCAAAGCATTTTTAACCTTGGGCCACTGACAAATAAATTTATGTAACATATTTACTAGTTTATAATTATTCAATTTATAGGTACTCCGTTGTTTCTATTTTCCTGTGTGATTTTTATCAAGATTTATCTATCCACGTTTTCATTGTGATTTACATGAAATATATATATATATATATATATATATATATATATATATATATATATATATATATATATATATATATATATATATATATATATATATATATATATATATATATATATATATATATATATATATATATATATATATATATATATATATATATATATATATATATATGTGTGTGTGTGTGTAGACACACACACACAAAATGATGTGAACAGTACAAATAAATGATAATGGAAAATACTCTCACAAATAATCAGAAACATTTTTAATAAATTTGTTTCTGGTTATATGTGAGTATTTTCCAATATTATTTGTTTGTACTGTATGTATTTTGTGTGTGTTCACAACACACACACACTATATATGCAATAATAATAATAATAATAATGAAGCCTCATATCGAGAATGGCCGCCCAAGGGCCTCCTGCGTGAATTTGTTAAGGTGTAGGAAGCTGGTCGCCAACACAACAACCACACCTCAAGTTAACGAGCTGCATGACCTAGTGTCACGGAATAGTCGAAAGCCTGACAGCTCGCCAACTGCACTGGCTAACCATTACCCCGAATGCAATCCGCCGTCGATTAACATCCAGGTTGCCAATTACTGCTGGGTAAAGGTAAAGGAAATTACTCTCTTGAGCGAATGACTCCATGTCCCAACCGAAAAATCCAGCAACTTTAAACTGCCCTACAGATATTCATGGGTATATCCAGAGTGTCTTCCACGATAATAGTGACCACGATTTTTGGGACCCCTGTACACTATATACAACCCAAAGTTTGCACTAGAGATAAAAAAAAATTCAAACCAATGTACTGTATATGGTTAAAGCAAATTTTTGGATCGATAAGTAGATGGTCTTAATTCCAACCATCGTTAAGTGAAATATCGCTGAACGAGGCATTTATCGAGGGGTACCTGTATGTATGTTTATGGAAATGACTTGCATTAAAAAATTAGTGTTGGCGAACTGAGGTGAAAAAAATGGAAGAGCTGCCAGGAATGGCTGGATTTAAGTAAGGGAGAATTAATTTAATAATTTCCAAGGAATGTTTGTGACTGGCCACTGAACTTTGTAATGTTGCAATTAGAATGGTTAAATAGGGCTTAAAAATTAGGAAGGGAATCAAAAGGCTAGCTTATACTTTGTAAATTATGAAACAAACCGGACAAACTACTCTGACTGGGTTCTTTTATATATTGGTATTATTTTATTTATTCTCACATTTACTGGTACAGTATATATTATTTTGTCTTATTCCTCACAGATAAATATCATATTCTTGAAATATTTTGATATTATCTACTATAGTGTGAAATCATCTCAGCATAGAATGTACAAGTAAAATTAATGTATATTTATTATTTGTACAATAATACCGTACTAGCCTCAGAAATTTATATTAATTGGGGGGCATTATAAAGGCATCTCCCACTATTATTATACAATCGGCCCTTAACATACGCGGGGGTTACGTAACAGAGATACCCGTGGATGTTAAAAATCCGCGTATATGTGCTGCCCCTCCCCCCCAAAAAGAACCTGGTCCCCCCATGTCCTTATTTACCGTATATACCTGTGTGTAGTTCAAGTTTTTAAGACCAAATTATTTGGCAAAAAATTGGGGGTCGACCTCTAAACGGGTAATAGTTTCGTTAGGTTGAAAAATATTTACCAGTAACTACCAGTAAACAATGGAAACGATGCACCAACGCACCACCAGCTGTGAGTGTTGGTACAGTTGCCAGGGCAGATCTCTTGCGTCATCATAGCAAGCCCAAAGTAGCCAAATCCATGGTATGGTAGCACAGGACGATGTAAAACAAAGTATTCATTTATTAAAGTTTATTTATAGATACTGTACATAAATTTTTGTTCATTACATTTGAAACATCAATCTTTGTTAATTAAATTTGAAACAAAAGAAAACTACGATACCGTATTTTCATTAAAATATTACATCACAAGTATATTTTACCTTAACTGTGACTGAATGAATATAGGTATTCTCAGAAATAAATATGGAAATATAATATTTTTGCTGGAATGACGTACATATTACAGTGGAAAGATCATGAAAACAATGACTTTCGCTTTCTTTCGTTATTCAAAAGATTTTACCGTAATCGCTTTTCGAATGGTTTTCAGTTAAAAAACTGTTGTACTCGTACTGTATTACAATAATATTCTATCCTATCATTAGCCTTATAATCCCACAACTGAAAACCATTCGAAAAGCGATTACGGTAACATCTTTTGAACGAAAGAAAGAGAAAGTCATTGCTTTCGTCACAATTTTATCCCACTTTCCACTGTAATACGTACATCATTTCAGCAAAAATATTACATTTCCATGTTCTCAGAAATAAATGGTAGTTTTGTTGAAACGTAATGTACAGTATTTAATATTAAAATGCAAAAATAGCTATAAAAACAATTAATACACCCGTAATGTACTGGCTGGCATCTCCACTCGTCCCTGCTCCCGCGTCCAAGGTCACCACTCCTCCCAACTCGCTCCCTCCGCTCCCTCCTCTACCTCCTCTTATGAGGGCCTGAGCTGCCACCATTTATGAGGGCCTCTGTGTGCCAGTAACAATTCCTTTTACTCTCATACTTATTACCATTGGTAGCATAGCGAGAGGAGGCTGGGTGGGTAGATGTAATGATAGTAACAAGCAATAGGGAAGAAATGAGATGTAAATACTGTGGGTAAATAATAGGCACAATATACAAATACAAAATTTATTTAAACATTAATATGAAATTAGGAGAAAGCATCTATTTGTACCAACAAAGGAAATCTAGTACTAGGCCTCAGGCTCAACATACTCACACCACTACTGGGTGGACATGCTCAATAACACTTCCAACCCTACTGGGTGGATATGCTCAATAACACACAACTCTTAAGTCACTTAGCATCATAGACCAGGGCAACTGCCACTACCACCTTCAGTCATCAGGAGTGATACTCAAGCAACAGCCATGGGGTCCAGCCACCATGGAGTACTTCGGCGAGACTCTGGAGATCCCAGTGGATTAATTCCACCACACAAATAGCCCTACTGAGGTTAGACACTCATCCACCAATGATGGGGCTGGTAGTGGTGTGTGGCTTGGTGATCGGGGGTCACCTCGCAGGCCCGGCGTTAGGGCCAGGCAGGCCAGCTATGGTGGCTATAGGTAGTCTGAAGTGTCTGACGGCCGGGTCTCACGAAGGTAACTGATCTACTGGATCTCGGACATCTCCCAGACATAGTGGATACAACATCCACGCTACAGACACGGCCTAGGCTGCGTTAGGAACCTGTATGGATGAAGGGCGGGCACTCAATAGCGGTGACAACAACATCACGTTTCAGGGGCGTTAAAGGCGTAAATATGACTTCACTTGAGACATATCAACTACATTACTGTAACACTTGCACAATCAACTATAAATTGGGTCAAATCACTTAAGAAGGGCGAATTACAACACAGAGTGGAATAGCATACCTGTATGGATGAAGGGGCGGGCACTCACTAACGGTAGAAAATGCCTGTGGCGCCTCACTCAAATAGGCCAGGGAGTCCACCTACTTCTATTCGATGAATTAATTTACTGTACCTCTGGCGTTGAAACTGAGACTATGAACTCAATTTCATTCCTACTATTATCTTCACTAACAATGCTCTGACTCGGCTATCAAAAGCAAAATTAAATTGATTACAAAGGGTTGGATGGCAACAGGTCCCAACATACAGCGTCTGCTCACGAAATCCGTGGATTATATTCAAAGTTCCTACAAACAAAGACAGAAACAGGAAGCAGATGCGTTTCCACTGGGGGACTCAGAAGATTTTGTGGACGTTTGAGCGTAATATGAATCCTTAAGGTTTTCAGGTTAGCCATTATCACTTTCATGACACTCTGCCTCCTCCACCCCCTCTGCCTCCTCCCCTCCCTGTCACTACTGCTGACAAAAGAACACAAATGTTTTGTGAATAACTGCACCTCCACTTCCTATGAACAGTACTGAACTGTACTGTGCTGTGCATTTTTACAAACAATAAACATGGCAAAAAGCTATTAAAAAGATAAAAATTTCACTTTACTGTACAGTACCTATCCTCGGTGACAGGGCCGGGGGTCATCGCCAGGCTCATCGTCCTCGATTCCATCTTTTGGTTAAATGTAACATCTCCACCACTAGTGTGGGGGGGGGGGGATGCAACTTTTAGCTTCAGACATGAAAAATATTTACCATTTACTGCCAGTAAACAATGGAAACGTAAAATATGTCCCAATTAGTAATGAAAAGTTGTGCAGTTCCTTCAGCAAATGAAGCTCACCAACTTACAATAGGCTAAATTACCTTACAACGTGTTTTCAGTAGTCTATGTTGAAGTTCTTAGCATAGGCTAACTTATCATATCATATACGGTATCACAGTACTCATTGATCTACAAAAAATACCGGTAATAAAAACCTTTCCGATATTTCACACGTAATATAATACCCGGTAATCTACTTCAACCTCCTATTGTTTACAACGACGCATGACGCACCACCAGCTGTTGAGTATCAATCAGCTAGACGGTACACGTGTTTTTCGAATCGTTTTCAGTTAAAAAACTGTTACATCACACGTATATTATACCTAAACTGCGCCTGAATGAATATATTCTCGGAAATAAATAGTAGTTTTGCTGAAACGTGATGTATTTCAATGTAAAATAGGATAAAATACATGACGAAAACAAAAGACTTTACCTAAGCTTTCGATGTTCTTGAGATGTTATTCGTTTTTTTACTAGTTTTCGGTTAAAATACTGTTATATTACAATGATATTCTATTCATACTGTGCTTGATATAATACATTCACGGAAATGTAATATTTTTGCTGAAATTAGTTACGTATTACAGTGGAAAGTGGGATAAAATCTTGACGAAAACAATGACTTTGAAATATAATGCGATATTAACCCCTAAATCGGTTAATTCGGACAATCGGCTAAAACGAACACCCTCCCCCCCCCATTAGTCCGAATTAACGAGGGTCGACTGTATGTACACTAACTTGTATAATTTTTTATTTATTTTTTATTTTATCATTGCTATTTAATATATGCTTTTGGTATTACAGTTTATAGGCCTATAGTCTTAAGTTTTGATGCTACATTGTACCGTTAAAGGTACTTTTAGGGGTAAAGCTAGCAAAATTTATAAATAGGAGTTGATGACTAGTGGGAATTTAGTTTAAGGGTTGGTATCACTGTTCATAACATCAGCTGTTGCAGTGGTGCTCATGTCCAAGACACTTTGGTGTGATTCTAGTGATTTTCTACAAAATATGTAGGATTATACCTCTTATTTCTCAAAAGCTAGGGTTGGATTGTACAAGAGATATATGAAGAACTCAGGCTTTTTGGCCCCAAAATCAGGAGTCGAACTATATATGAGATCAGTTTATACGGTATATGAGATAGATAAGGAAGGGTTCAGTAAACTGTACAGTATAGTGAATTTATTTGGAAGAGAGGTAATACTGGAATGTGAGGAGTGGTACAGTAATACAGTACAGGTATAGAGAGGTAATATTGTACTATGTATCATTGTTTGTCATTGACGTCCAAAGAGTTGTGTGCGAAGGTTATGGGCAACCACGTGGTCGTGGTATGGAGGACAACCAAAGCACTATTTACCTGTTGCCCTTGATAAGAACTTTAAATAACTGCTGCTACAATTATTATATTACTCATTAAAAGACATAAAACAAAATACCTGTACACTAAAATGTAACAGCTGTCAGCATATGAACTATATATTTCAAATGAAATTTTTTCCTCTGTTCCGATGTTGCTGCTGCGCTTTTGCCACATTGTCTCGTTCTGTTTGTAGTAACGTCGGCAAATGATGAACTGTGGTTTGTACTGGTTACTAATATCCACATATTACCAGTACAATACTGTATCTTCATATTATGCACATAACAATATTTATTCGTTGCTGTGATGTAAAAAAATAGAGGGAACCTTGGTCTCAACCTTAATCTCCTAAGCATTTGTTTCTTTCTGGTAAAATACAGAAGGTGGGGCTATCAACCCTTTGTCCCATGGCTGGTTTCTGGTGTCACTATCTATATCAACATGAAGTGTGGTACTGTATATAGAAATTATTTGAGAATCTGCTAAGAGGTTTTAGCACTTTTGTGTTAGATACAGGTAAAGACTTGAGGGAAGATATGCAAGTAGGTGAGAGTACTGTACCTATATTTATTTACATTTTTTATATAGAGTTTCAATTTGAGTGTGAAAAATAGCCAGTTTTAACTCCATAATATACTGTATATCTGTAATGATGTTTTGTTTTTTACAGAGAAAAGTATCAAACCGTTGAGGATGAAACTGCAGAGGGAAGCAAAAAGGCCAAGCAACAGCTCTATACTATCAAAAAACGTGTTTCAGAGACTGTAGAAGAAGCACAAAAAGCAGAAATTATTCAAAAAGCTTGTAAGTTTAGAAAAAATTTGCATCCTGTATTTATAGTTCTGTATGACAATGAAATATATTTCTGTACTGTACTGTAATTGAAAGTAAATAACATTAGCTAGTGTAAGTTTGGTTGTTAAAGTGTCCTTCTGAGAAAAGGGAACTCATTTATATCTGTAATTTCAGCAAAACTTACTGAAGAAGCAACTAAACAAGCCCAGAAGGTTGGTCAAACTATTTCCCAAAAGAGCGAAGAACTAAGTAAGACACAGACTTATAAAACAATCAGTGATACTGCGAAAGCAGTAAAAGAGGAAATTGATCATTCAACTTTTGGGGGGGCTGGAGCTAGAGTTTATAAAGCTCCTGTGTCATTACGTAAGCGAGTGCAGCGAGATCCAGAAGCAGAGAAGAGAATTATTCAAGTATGTATACCTGTTAATTAATTTATTACTGTTTACTGTATAGTAATACCTCTTGACAAAGAGGATGTGTTCCATGCCTTCACCTTGTCAGAAACTTGGTTACCAGAGGTAGATATAACGTAGGGATATGTTCAAGGACTTAAAAGAAGGGCAGCTTAATAGGAAAATATCATTATATACAAACATAAATACTGGCATATGGTTAAAATTGTCTGATGACATGATTTTAAAACACTATTTATCAAAATAGAATTCATCCATTCCCTCAGACTCACATTAATTGTTCCCATCTTTTAACTACTATGGTGTGTGAATGTAACTCTGAAGTTATTTTCATAGTACTTTTTCTTTAGGCCAATGCTGAAGCAAGAGGAGTAACACTACACAAGGATTCACAATTTGCAAATAGTTGGCAGAACTTCAAAGATAACAATCCTTATGTTAACAGAATACTAGTGTGGAAGACTAAGTTAGATGAAAGTGATAATCCATTAGTACGATCATCAATGCTGGTTAAAGACAAGGTATGTGGGTCAAACTTTAATTGGTGTTTAAATCTGTGTAGAAATGAAAAAGAAAATGCTTTGTACAGTATTATGGTTAATGACAAATGGTGTTAAGTGCCTCTTTTGTTTTAAATATCAGTAGATTTGTAATTCATTCATTGTGTTTAGTTGTCAATGGTTAAAGGTCAATAGATATATCAGTGAGATGGTATACTGTACTGAAGTTGCATTGTAATATAAAATTAATGAATTTTCTATGCCTGTACATTTCAGTTATTTGTTTATTCATTTATTTACTTATTTATTTATTTGTATACTGTACAGTATACTGTATGTACTAAATGGGTTCAAGCAGTATACTGTACAGGTATGTATATTGTAATAAAACAGTGGTATGCTTGATACTCTCTTACTAATCTTGCAAATTAAACATTCACAGGTCTCAGAATTATTTGGTGGAGTCTTCCAGCGTACAGAATTATCTGAAGCCCTAACAGAAATATGTAAGATGGATCCATCTTTTGACAGAGAGCGGTTTCTGGTGGAGTGTGAATATGATATGATTCCTAATGTTCTGGAGGCTATGATCCGACCAGACTTAGAGGTGAATTTATATTTTTTTTATTTAAATTCTTCATAATTTTATTAATTTCTTTGTGCAGTGCTAGCTTGTTTACAGAAATTTCATGTGTATGGAATAACATAATGCTCTTGGACACGTATACGTACAGTACTTGTAATTGGTTATACTGTACACTATCATGCCTATGTCTTTGTTTACTGTACTTACATTTGCTTGTGCAAATGACTGAACTACAAGCAGCTTTGGATCAGAAAATAGCCTTGAAAGCATAGAAATTATACTTTGATCCTATTCTAAAATTCACTTCAAGAAAATATTGTGTATTTATTTGTATTTCATGATAACAATTGGTAATCATGCTTAATAAGATGATTCATTATTAGGTGCTGCGAGATTGGTGCTTTGAACGAGCTTACTCAGTTCTGGCCACCCCAGTGAAGCAAGCCTATCAGTTAGGATTTATCTTTGATTCTAAGGTGAGTGTCAACATTATTTTACAGCAAATACTGATTGGTTTGGTTTTACTATTTTATTAGGTACTTCTTGTAAGAATTTATTAAAACAGAGTTCTTCCTTGATATGTTATTGGGATGCAGCCAGTCTGGTTAACAGAGAATTCTTGTTTTCATCTGTTTGTGTGACTAATTGATGCAAAATTGAATGGGGCTAATGTGATCTGTTCAGGGTTGTTTTATGGGCAAAATATAATTTAATTTTAAAAAATCTGTATATTTACTATTTAAAAAAAATAAGGATTAAATATTTCCCTGTAAGAAAATTGTAATGACTTTACAACCCCATTAGCTTTTGTTTTGCTGTATAGTTTATGGAATAAGTATTACCTAATGATTTCCAAAGTTAATGGATTATGTTTATTTAACAAGATTTTTGTCTTGGCCAGTAAGTAAAAAAAATCTTTATGAAGAAGGTACTGTAGTAGAGTATGTCTATACTAATTCTACTTTCAGGTTTTAGATGTGGACAATGTTGACTTAGTTATGGGTAAAGTGATGGATGAGGGGCCAGTGTTAGCGGTTTCCTTCCAATCCCAACAAATTATGTGTCTTCGTAACAGCAAAGGGGAGGTGAGTTAGTTAATTCTCATTACAGTGTAATAATAATAATAATAAACGGTTTATTAATAGAGTTGCAGCCGGTGGCTGAAAATATACAGACTTACATTTGATTTAGACATAATGATATAATATGCATTGAATACATTTACAGGGCTGTACAGTACATAAATCAGGAGTTGTTTATTATTTTAACAATAGATGGGGGTGTGTGTGTGTGTATATACAGTGGGGTATGCTATAACGAATGGATTCTACTGCGAATATTCCTATAACGAACGGTTTTACCTATAAAATTGAGAATGCTATAACGAACGAAACTCCAACAACAAACTTTTTTTTTTTTTTAGTAATTTATTGTTTTTTTATTACAAGTATTAATGATATTCTTTATTTCAGGGGTTTAGATACATATATATGCACTTTTTTACAATTTTATATTATATTTTTCAGTGCTAAGTGGTTGTATTTGGGGGCCTGGAACGGATTAATCCTATAACGAACGAATGCTATAACGAACAAGGTTCTAGAACCAATTAGATTCGTTATAGCATACCCCACTATGTATGTATGTATATATATATATATATATATATATATATATATTTATATATATATATATATATATATATATATATATACAGTGTAATAATTTTGCATAGTATAACATCATGTTAGGTTGTAGGAGTTGGATTAAAATATCAGTATTATCTGTCCCTCACCGAATGTCAAGGGTCCTGTAGTGGTTTAATAATGGTGTTATACACTTAAAGACCTTAGTTGTTGAAGTGCAGTAATAACATAACAACTGATTTCCTTGACGGTTCAGATAAGCAGTTATCTCCAACCCCACCCCATATATCCACTTTTTGTGGACTCATTTTCCGGTGGGGTCTGCCCTAATTAGTCCTATTTATCGAGGTTCTACTGTATTAATATTAATAGCTAATGTGCTCCTGACAGGTTGTAGAAGGTGACCCAAGTAAAGGTGCTGAGAGTGCAGTATGTTGGGTGTTGTCGTGATCAGACAGAACTTGATGTTAGTTGCCTGGAGAATACTGGACCTATCAGCTCAGAGCACTGAACAATTTTATAACAAATGTAGGGTAAAGGTAATGGTAATATTGTGGTAGTTTGTATCCCAATTCAAGTAGAACTGCAACAGTTATTGATTACATTCGTGCACTTGTCATCCGTGACTGGAAGTACTTCTAGGCCATTTTAGACCTTGCAAAAGTTTACCCTGGTCAGAACATTGTTATGATTAAAATATTTTAACGTGTTATGGTGGGATCTATGTACAAAATTGGTTCTAATGAACACTGAATTTGTTTGTAGAATATTATTGTAATTTTATGAGAAGTGTTTGAGTGAATGACCTTCTCAGATGAGTTGTTGTTATTAGTTGATGCACCAGTGTATTGATTTTGTAAAATACATGTGAATGGCTATCTAGTTTGTCTGTGGACTATGAAAACTGAAAGTGAAACCATTATATAGAATTAGGTATTCATCATCTTCATTATCATCCATACTGTAAAAGCAAATTGAAAACAGATATCCGTGAAGATGGTGGTGTCATCAGGTTACGTAACTCTTCCTGGTGTTGGTGTAGTCGTTCAGGAGCTTGATTTTTTAGTAGAGAAACTTTTACATTACAGATTAACTCTTGGTCCATGGGCTGTAATTATAGACGTAGTGTTGGGAGGAAGGAAGACCACTTTTACGTTGGGGTGACGATCTAACAGTAGGGCCGAGTGTCTGTTGGGCATCCTTGGCGCAAACATCTTGAATGGCACATTCTGTTGCTCCAAATTTCTTCACATCGGGAACGAAACAGTCATCAAACCAGGAGAGGGACAGTGTAGAGAGAACATCCACGCCTTCGTCGGTCAGCCAGTGGACATTTAGCTTGGTCATGTCCATGCTCTGTGAAGCGAAGCTGCGGTGTGTGGATCACCGATAACTTGAGCTTACAGGTACCGGAGGCATTGGTGGTAAACAGGACGGTGATCTCTCCTGCAACTTCGGCCCCAAATCTTGCTGGCATTCTTCACAATGAAGGTCTTGGAAGGTAGCTTTTTCCAAAAGGCCAGATTCGTCCATGTTAAACACCTGGTCGTGGTGTACTGTCCTTCCTCCATAATCTCACGTAAAACGGAGGAAATTCCCTAGCCGCAGAGCGGTCAGAACTAGCTTCTTCACCACCAATGTTTATATTGGTGATCTTGTTCATCTTAAGCCTCTGTAACCACCCAGGAAGCATTAAAGGTTTGGGCTCTGTAATTCCCATCTTCGTGACACTGCAGCATACAGTTCACGTGCGTGCATCCTTAACAGAGCGGCGTGTCCACCGCCATGTTCTGTTAGCCTGGCGCACCAAGTGGAGTCACAAGTAATTTTTCCGTCTTGAAGCACCTGGTTGTGGAAATACTTGATCATAGAAGCACCTGTAGACTTTGTGATGTTCATGTGTTTTCATCCTTCTTTATCTTCCGGATCGTAGATTCGTTCACACCATGCTGGCGCCAATCAACCTGTCTTGTTCCTTTCTCTAACTCTTGGATGATCTTGTACTTCACCTGTAGCTTAAGGAGCGTCGTGTCTTCTTGGGCTTAGGTGGCTGGGTCCAGGCAAGGAAGGTTTATCTCTGGGGGCGGTGGTCCGTGAAGCCATTTACAGAACAATGGATGCCCGATTACGGGTGTGGCCTGGAGGGATGAAACTGCAGCGGGCTAGGTCAAGCGTCGTCTTTCCTCCCTCCCAGGTGGACCGCTCATATTACTTTAAACCAATTACAGCTAGCAGCGGAGGTAGGGATGCATGGCCAATCACAGTCCGATCGTCATGGCGTCACTGATAGCATAACAGAGACATACTCATAACCTTACGTGGTTTGAGCGGAGGCGGAGGGTGGGGCGAATCTAAAAATAGCGTCAACCGGACACTCTCCGTAAAGGCGTACACGCACCACGGAATGTGAGCATCCTGGGTTCGGCAAGTGCATAGCGATAGAGAAACGCGAATGTGGACGCGTAAGTGAGGTTGACTTTTTTTTTTTTTATATATATATATATATATATATATATATATATATATATATATATATATATATATATATATATATATATATATATATATATATATATATATATATATATATATATATACTGATCATATAAACTATGAGAGACAGTTAATTAAAAAGACTCTCAAAACCAAGGAAATGGTTAAAAAAGTCTAATTTGCAGGGATTAAAAGCATTTTTCAGACCTTTAAATTTAACTTGTTGTTCTACTTCGGAGAGGGACAAATCTGAGTAGTTGAAAGTCACCTTATTAGGGGAGAGTTTACTGTCGTGAACATAACCTAGTTTTCCAAGTTTGTGGTACTGGACGATTTCAATTCTAGAAGTCAGTTTATAATTTGTAGTATTTACTAAATTCTGCAAATGGTTGTAATCTAAATAAGACACTTGAGACTTTAATTCCCGAGATAGTTTATCGTGCTTGTCACGGGTAAGGTTAATATTATGTTTCTTTGTCCTTATTTCACTGCTAAGTAGATGTCTCTGGCAATTTCTGTAGGACTTAGAATGCTGCAGGTTACGGTTACTGAGTTTAAATTTCAAGAAATTGGGGATCAAGTTCTGTGAGGAGCATGAATCCAGAAACAGATCACACTGTAGCTTTCTCAACTTGTGGTCTTGTCGTTCTACTGCTCTGTACAAGGCGAGCACTGGTTGTCCAGTTTATCGAAGGTAAATTTTCATATAATATTATGTTTTTATTGTATATCACCTGTATTTTTTTAACTTTTTCAAAACTTTTTTGTTTTTAGGCTCTGATGATGGAAAACGATTATTTCCGAAGTGTTAGCGATTACAAGAAGCCCACTTGGTCAAGATGTTTGTGTTTACACTGGCGGGTTGAGGTGTTGATTGTATGTAGAAGTCCGCGTGCTTTATTGGGCTAATGAAATATATATATATATATATATATATATATATATATATATATATATATATATATATATATATATATATATATATATATATATATATATATCCTGTATAATTTTTATTTTATTATTTTTTTATTAATGCGCTGACGAAGGTTAAATTTTGTTAAAGATCGCCCATTTTTAATTGCTCATAATATTTTCTCCATCATGCTTCTCCTTCACAGTTATATTAACTCATTAGTTAATCCCCCTCCTCAAACAGACTATAGACTGTACTGTATATACCGATCCCTGTATCAACAGCAAACAGCACTTCCTCTCCTGTACTGTACTTACTGTACTGTACTTACTTTTAATCGTAACAATACAGCCCATTCATGTACCATATCACCTATATTGTCATCTCTTCCTCCTTTTCAGTATAAATCATCATACTTTCCTCATCATCATCATCATTTAATAGCATCAACATCAAGAGCATCAATATTTATTGCAACTGCCCCTGCACCACCAATTTCTTTCATATCATATATGGTACAGTAGTAGTCTTTTTAGTAGTATCTTCTATTATCCATATTATCACAGTCACACTAGACAGTACAGTACCAGTGTTTTGTTCTTTAAATTTACTGCCTTTACCCACTTAGTGCCAAACCTTGGTTTATATTGGGCCCTGTCATTAGGAGATTCTCACTGTCATGTATACAATATCTTAACAGGATTTAATTGGAGTGAATTCTGGATAACATCATTTACAACATTCTTTTGGTTGTATTTTGTGTTACTCTACTACCAAAAACTGGATACAGTAATAAGTGGGTGGTGTTTATATTCTGTCCATCTTTGTATATCTTGTAAGCTGGACAGGTCATACAAAAAGGTTGAGAGTTGGCATGATACTGTTTATAGGACCTATTGTATAGCTGTATGTCTGAACAATTTTATTATGTGTCTTTGGTCATAAATATCAGTGCCATGCCAATGTGTAAAACCCAGGTTTTTGGGGATTTATGGACAGTTGCTTCCTGATGTGTTGTTACCCCTGATCCTGCCTCCCCTGCTCATGTGGGAAGTTGACAACATATATAAAAATTTACAAATACTGGTGAAGACAAGTACTGGACAGTAAAGCCTTGAATTACGGCAGCAATGTGTCCTCCAATATTGCGGCGAATGTCGAATCGTCGTATCGTGAATCAATAATTACTTATAATAAAGCAGTAATAATGAGATGAGTTCCCCAGTGTGTCCTTTTCACATATTTTATGTGGCTTTTTACCCATTCCCCCCAAACAGTAAAATTAATGGAAAAAAAGATCTATACCTATACTGCACTTTAATTACTGTTTATTAATGCATCTTATACAATATAATTCAGTAGGTACAGGTATTAGTGATAAAGAACTCAACTGTGGGTGGAGGCCCAGAGTATGAATGAATGCAGAATTATTTCGTCACTTCTCTTAATAAGAATACAAAAGATTCATTATTGTTTATTACTAAATGTCTATACAGGTATCCTTCGAGATACAAAAATTCGCTTATATGAATTTCCTAAATTACCAACTCTTTTTCGTGTTACCAAAGTTTCCCCCGCTAATACCGATTTGGGTCCTGATAAAAATTCAAATCGTGTGGTTCCGGGAGTCAGCTGGGGTGGCCACATCCCCCGAGTGCTCCCTCTTCCAGGCTGGGGTAGGAGTTATGATAAATTTTCAACTCGAATTTTGGATATACAGTGGTCCCTCGGTTAACGAACATAATTCGTTCCAGAGAGTCATTCGTTAACCGAATCCATTGTTTCAATGGAATATTGGGTAATTGGTTCCAGCTCACCGAAAAGTACATACAAAGTAAAAAAATGCAGTAAAGTAAACTTACTTTGAGGTGTGCATGTAGAAGGCTCCTGGTTGATGGTGATGATGGGAATTAGAAGTGGGGGTGGGGGAGAAGAGAAGGAAGTGGGGATGGAGGAGAAATCACATTCTAGGGGACCCATGCTTGATGCCGTCATTTCACCAATAAAATTTTAAGTTCACTTGGTCTAATTCAAGATTATT